GCATGTCCAGTAAAACCGCGAGCGGCGGGAGCTAATAAAAATGTGTTATAAGTTTTATAATGAAAATGTTTAAAAGCCATATTTAAATGTTGATACATTTAGAGATAGTACAAGTTTTTGTATTATTTGAAATGTACTATTATAATTTGGATATGATTTAAATACATTAAAGTATATTGTTTCACCTGGAAGTAGTCCCACAAGTCTTTCAGCCTTTATTATACTGGTAATACATTTGCAAGAATTTGCAAGTTAGAAAGTAGTATAGCAAAGTAATGATCAAGTATATTGACTATTAACTGCAAAGTATGCTTTTTTAGTAATTGGAATAAGCCAAAAGTATAATTAAGCATATTATTACCATAGTAAGAATATATTTAAAGTATAAAGCTTATATATTTTTAAGACACTAACAAATAATTTTTAATGTACTTATAATACAACAAAGTACACTTTAATTTTACTAATTAAGCATGTATTAGTACATATAAAGTCATATACTTAAAGTATACAAAATATACTTTAAGTTGTTCCACGTTAGCACATAAAAGTACACTAAATACACTTCAAGTTGAGTTTTTCTAAATTTAATTACAATTAAAATATATTTAGTACAAAATTAGTTGTTCCAAAATAGCATGCTTCAAGTTAACTAATCATAAACACACTTGAAGTATAGTGATGATTATTGTGGCTTCAAGTACACAAAAGTATGTTAAATTTTAGTTCATTTGGCGCATTTATTTTTCACCAGGGCAGCAGTAATTCATTTTCCAAGGTGGTCTCCCCTCCAAACACTAACCAAGCCCACACCTGCTTAGGTTCAAACACACATCTTGTGCAAATCAAGTAGTGATATGACTGCTAGTCACAAAATTGGTAGACACATTTCATTGTCACCATATCAGACCAGATAGCACCAAAGTTCCAGTCTTCTTAACCTCACGTTTGAAAATACTGCGTACATTTATCTGTGAATCTGCACATAATGGCCAGTTAGATTGAACTGATATCTCAATTAAAACACAGCAATGTTTGGTACAGGTACAATATGCAGGGCTTTGATGTCCACACTCTTGTCTAAAAATGATTAAATCATTTATAAAACAGAACATACCATCTTTGAAGTATACAGCACTGCTGCATCTTTTCTTTAGTCGGTCATATTTTTGACTGTGATACAGAACTCTATTAACCAAAAAACATATATTTCATGAGCCTTTGCTTGATTTCTTCAGCCTACTGGTCAGGCTGAAGGCATTGCTAATTCATATATTATGCATATTTCTGGTTCCATCTGAGAGAAAGAGGTATTTTTTTTTTGTTTTGAATTGGGATTTTCAATAAGAGTTGACATTGTTGTGTTCTTATACTTTGGCATCCAATACAATATTGTGTTTGAAAATTTAATTTATAAAGGAATCACTTTTGTTCTCAATCCTGAGTATGTGTTTCATTGTGAATTCTTATAAGTACCTTCATCTGTAAATTAAAGCAGAATGCACTTAAGCATTGTCTACTAGTAGAGTACGAGGTAACCCCTCGTCTACTTACGTTAAATAATATCTGAACAGCAACAGTAATATATTTTAGAGTGCAATAACCATAAGCTATGAGTATGATGTTAAGTTAGCCTAAAGAAGACTTTGAAGTATACTTGCAGTTTAAAAACAAAAAACTTCTAGCTCCCTGAAAGTTTAAAACTAAATTTAAACTATAGAGGGCTTGAAGTATAGAACTAGGGGACTAGTAGTCTACCTATGAGTTTACTTGCAGAATACTTCAAAGTGTACTTTCATAAACTAAAAAGTTGGCTTGAAGTATATAACAAGTAAAATTGTAGTACATCTGAATTTACTTGCAGTATACTTCAAAGTATACTGCAATATTTTTATAAATTAGACATTGTGTTAGAAGTATATAACTAGTGAACTAATAGTACATCTTTAAGTTTACTAGCAATATACTTCACAGTATACTTTCATGAACTGAGAAGTTAACTAGAAGTATGTAACTAATAAACTAGCAGTATATCTGTAAGTTTACTTGCAGTATACTTTAATGTATACTTTCATAAATTGAAAAGTATGCTAGAGGTATACAACTATATAGTTAAGTCACAGTATATTTAAAAGTTCACTTGTAGTGTACTTGCAATACAAAATAAAACTTAGATGTAAACTAGATGGGTACTTTGACTTTACGTTGCTTAAACTTGAAGTATACTTCTTTTTTGTAAGGGTATGTATCAAGTCTGTCAATACTGGAAGAATTGTCAAATTTATTCTCAAATAAAATCATTCATTCATTTTCTATACCCGCTTATTCCTTACTAGGGTCGCGGGGCGAGGTGGAGCCTATCCCAGCTGACTACAGGCAAAGGCAGGGACCCACCCTGGACAGCTTGCCAATCCATCGCAGGGTGCACACACCATTCACTCTCACACTCATACCTATGGGCAATTTAGTGTCTCCAATTAACCTATCATGCATGTCTTTGGACTGTGGGAGGAAACCAGAGTACACAGAGAAAACCCACGCGAACACGGGGAGAACATGCAAACTCCACACAGAAAGGCCCCAGGCTGGATTCAAACCCACAAACTTCTTGCTGTGAGGCAGCAATGCTAATCACTGCGCCACCGTGCCAACAAGGAGACAAATAAAATAAAAATAAAATCAGACAAATGTTTATCTGTTTCTGTGTGGGTTAGTAACACTGCATAAAAATCAAGTTCGGCTCCACCCATGTGCTATTTACTCTGCTATGCTATCCCAAAGCTGACTTGTTACTGCAAACTTACATGTGGAATATGTAAGTTCATGAGATAGTAAAAACTGAGAAAAACTATACTGCAATGAAGCCAATGTGTATGGTAAAAAATATTTTAATGTGCTTCTTCTTTTGATAGTAGCCTAACTGCAAGCCAAGTATACTTGAACATTAGGCATGAATATTTTAATACATTATTATACCTTTCTTGAGTATATCTCGATCAAAAGTTTAGGTACAAGTATAAGCCAAATATACTGAGACTTTTCTGTGTACTTTTCAGTATAAGCTAAGTATACTTAGGCATTACTTTGCTGAGTATATCAATGTAAGTACATCAAAAGTAAACTGAACGTATACTCTCTTATTTTTAGTTTAGAAGAAGTATACTAATAGCACACTTGAATAAACTTCTTTTTCGTAAGGGCAGTACCTACCTCTGAAATCAAAATGGCTGCCTAACTTCATGTGAGTTTGTGATATTTACACTGTCAATACATTAATCTGCAACATGCCTTGGTATTGATTTTTGTGTGTGTGTGTGTGTGTCAAAACCTCCTTTTCCCCCTCTCAGCTTATTCTGGCTCCAGCAAATGGAATATAGTTAATTACTCTGTCATAGTACAGATAAAATTAGCCTTTGTCTAGAGAAACACTGTTCAAAATGTTAATTCCTGTGTTGGGAATGCTCGGTTATATTGCGATCAATTGGCAGACACTTGAGACCGGTGAACAGTTGTGGAGAAGAATTGTAAAATGTGTCTGATTTAACTTGTGTTTTAGTCTTATGATGGGATTAAAATCTTACTTTTTCTCTCTCAAGTCGAAAACCTGACCTTGTTTTAAGTTACTGTGTGTTTGACTAATGAAATTTCTTTAAGCTACTGGCAAATCTAACTTTGAGTGTAATTATCGCTCCTTATTGAGAGATTTTCTACGACTGCTTACTTTTGAAGCATTTAAAGAAGAGGTATCACTGGGAGGCCCGTTTATGATCTCTATCTGAGCAGTTATCTGAACAAACTATCTGAAACTATTTGGTGGTGTTTCACCGGGAGTGGTTGGCTGTGGTGTCATGTGGTATTGCGCATTAAAGGTCGCTCACCTCTGTGGGGAAGAACCGCCGCAGATAACATCAAAACACTCCTGTACACATACCACCATCACACACACACACACACACACACACAAACACACACACAGGCACATGTCCTCTTCACCTCACCGAACCACACTCTATCTCTCTTTGTAACTCACTCTCAAATACCCCCCAAATTACAGATCTAACTAATCCTCAGACAACTAAGCCATCTCACAAAACATTTCAAACTGGCTGTACAGTAGCTAATAGTGCAGCAGAGGCCCCAAGAAAAGTGTGGTACAGAGGTTTCCAGGAGTTATTACACTCCTGTTTGATTTTATTGCATCCTGACCAGGTCTGTGCTATAATAAATGGCTAGTAAAGTATTGTTACTACAGAATGAGCAAAATATTAAGGACTCCCTTCCAGTTTTCTTTTTTATACACTGCTTTTATGGTTTGTATTACTTTAACACATTTGACTTCATTATACTGCATGCAGTAATTATGCGATGATACAAACCCTAAGTGGAAATCAGGAATACTATAAAAATAAAACAATAATCATTATATAGAGCTAAACTCACAATGATAAAGTAAGAAATTACTTTTTTAAATGTTTAATCAATTGAAGGTACCCTAGTTTAGTACTCGGTGCACTGCAACCACATCTCGCAAGGTTAATAGCATGGAGGCTTTTCTGGTACTGATTGATTTAGAGACCATTCCTCTATACAGATCCCATCAAGATGAGTGACACTCCTGGGTTTGTGCACATGCACTATCCCCTTCGGTTCCGCCCACAGGTTCTCAATCGTACTGAGGTCTGGTGATGGAGGTGGCTATTGCAGAAAAGTATGTCTGTTGTCCTACAATGAATTCTACGTGGATTTGAGGCGTCCTTTGTGTCACTGTCACGCTGGAAAGTCCAACCACAACTAAGTGGTTGCCTGCTTTCTGGCAAAGAAAACCAGATTTTCTGCCAATATTGTGCCCCCCCAAAAAAAAAAAATCACTGATTCATATTTCACTGTGGATATGAGGTGTCTTTCCTTGTACACACGAGCCAAAACATTAAGACCACCTGTCTAATATGCTGTAGGTCTTTTGTGTGTCACAAAAGGTACGCCTTAATATTGACATATGCGCCCCAGTGGCTCATTGGTCTAAGTGCGTGCGCCATAAAAAAAAGGCTATGTCCTTCCCGCGGCGACGCGGGTTCGATTCCAGCTTGGGTCATTTGCCGCATGTCTTCCCCCATTCTTTGCCCCAACTTTCCTGTCACTCTCCACTGTATATCTATCAAAATAAAGGAAAAAATCTTAAAAAATAAATAAAAAATGGACACATACATGAATGCCAGGACCAAGAGCTTCCTGGCCAAAAATTTCCCAGAGCATCACATTCCTTCTTCCAGCCTGTCTTCTTTCCACAGAGCATATTGGTGCCATCACTTTCCCTGGTAAATGGGGCACACGTACTCAGCCTAAGCACACGATGTAAACAAAAATGGGACTCACTGGACCAGGCAACTTTCTTTAATAGCTCCAAGATCCAGTTACAGCACTCTAGTGCCCATTGTGGGCCCTTTTGATGGTGGACTGGGATTAACATGGTCACTCTGGGCAGCCTGCCCCATTCACTGCAGGGTGTGATGCACTGCGGTTTGTGACACATTCCCCTATTATCATCGTAAAAATTTTATGCAGCTCGTTTCACAGTGGCCCTTCTGTTGATTTGGACCAGAAGGGATAGCTTTTTTTTTTTGCCCTTGTGCATTGATGAGCCTTGGGCCCCCAACACCTTGTCGATGGATTACAGCTTGGCCCTTCTTGGTCCATTGTCAGTAGGTACTCTCCACTGCTGACTGGGAGTACCATGGAAGCTTTGCCGCTTCAGAGATGCTCTGACCAACTCATCTGGCTGTTAGAATTTGTCTGACTCAAAGTCTCTCAGGTCCCATTTCTCCCACATCTTACACTTTGACTACAAGAACTGACTGCAGTTACAATCTAAGGTCTCTCTCCAGATCTGACATGTGCCGTTTATATGAGATAATCAACTGTATTTGCTTCATCCGTGAGTGGCCGTAATGTTTTGGCTCATCGGTGTATATCATATGGTACGACTTTAAATAACATTGCTTAGCTCAGCAGGAAACACAAAGTTAAAGTGAATTTGAGTCAGGCATTTCAGAATATCCTCATTTAGCTGGAAAAAGGGCTTGTCCACTTTACAGGAAGTTCTTACGCAAATCGTCAAGCTGCAAACATTATATTAGACTTTGCAGTTGGCATGGATACAATGTTGAAATGACAACTTTTCAACGTAATAGTAAAAAAAGTTACTATTTTCATTTATGGGACACTACATGTGTCCATTTATGGATGCCTTTGGGCTGTGGAAGGAAACTGAAGTATTTGGCGAAAGCACATACTATGAACACAGAGAGAACATGCAAACTCCACACAGACAGGGCCCATGCCAGATTCAAACCCACAACTTTCTTCCTGTCAGACAGCAGTGCTAATCACTGCACCACCCTGACACCCCTGTGCACACATAAAGACGTAAATTTAACTGTCGCGTTACATCAACCGTAAACATCCAAAAAAATACAAAATACAAAACCAAGCCACTCAGAATTGTTGTCTCTTAAAAGTGGATTTTACTTGTCACTCACACTTTAATGTTATCTGTTTTAGCATGTTGTCCAACAGCTGCCCAAAACTGTAATCCTAAGAGGAATAACAGTAAGTAGAGGAAAAGTTTAGAGTAAATATTTCACGTTACCTCAGCGTATTCTCCTGTGTGCTGGTTTGTGTTAAAATGCAGCGGCGAATTAATTCTGCCTCTGAAGCTGAACTCAGTTGCTTAATGAAGGCGCGGTCATGGAGGAGGATGTGAAAGACTTTGACATTACTTCAGGTTACAGAGTGCAATCTGGTGTGATGTCAGCTCTTGAACAAAACACTGAAGTCCCCTCACAGAGGTAGGAGGCGTGCACACATATGCGTGTATGTGTTGCAAATTCACTTGAGGTATTTTTCCATGGGATTTAATTTAAAAATGCTTGATTTTATAGGGTGTTAAATACATCATTCATAATGTAAATACCCGCCACCTACACGCTGAATAATTTGTAATTATTTTGATTTCAGAGGTAAGTACTATAAAGCGGTAATGTAATCCATGTAAAAGGTATTTTTAGCTTTGAGCAAAGAAACAGGTTTGTTTCATTGTACTTACTGTCACTGTTTTGAACAACATACACTACCAGTCAAAAGTTTTACGACACCCCCAATTTTTCCAGTTTTTTAATCGAAAATTATGAAGTTTAATGTCTCATTGTACTCTGGAATGAAAGCATAGGCATGATAGAACAAATTAACAATCGAAGTTAAAAAAATAAATCATGGAATCAATTTATAAACCAAAATGTATTTTAAACTTCTGACTCAAAGTAGCCACCTTTGGCAGATATAACGGCTGAACACACTCGTGGCATTCTTTCTACAATGGAAATCAAATATTCTTCAGAAAGTTCTTCCCAACTCTGTTGCAGAAGTTCCCATAAATGTGTGGCACTTGTAGGTTGCTTTGCTTTCACTCTTGTGTCTAGTTCATCCCAAACCATCTCGATGGAGTTTAAGTCTGGAGACTGTGCTGGCCACTGCATGTTTTCAAGCTTGCCATCTTGTTTTTTTTCCTACTGTAGTTCTGGCAGTGCGTGGACTTATGTTTTGAGTCATTATCTTGCTGTAGGATGAACCCCTGACCAACTAGGCGCATACCAGAGGGTACTGCATGGCGCTGCTGAATGCTGTGGTGGCCGTTTTGGTTCAGGGTGCCTTTTGCTCGATAAGTCACTGACCCTGGATCCAGCAAAACAGCCCCAGACCATCATGCTTCCTCCTCCATGTTTGACAGTTGATGTCACACACTGAGGAACCATCCTTTCACCTACTCGATGGCATACAAAAAATCTGGGTAACCTTACCTTTTGTTTAAAACTTCTGATAGTTCAACACTTACCTTTGTACCATTTCCAGCTATTTGTTGGGCTAGAACTGCATAATTTTCAATAAAAAACTGGAATAATTGGGGTGCCCTAAAACTTTTGACCGGTAGTGTACCCCTGTAATCAGTGTTTCCCAATAATAACAAAAGAATGTAGCCGGCATTTACATGGTAATTACTGTAAGTTAGGTTAGTCCTGTAAAATAATTTTTCTCATAAGATGACAGAGTGCGACAGCTGAGTGTTTGCTATGAAACACACCTGTAAGAGCAGAGCGTGACATTGTGTTGGGCAGTGGGCTGTTTGACATGTAAAACTGTATTAGGGGTGTGGGCTGTTCGACATGTGAAATTGTATCAGGCGGTGGGTTGTTTCATACAGTGGGCTCCAAAATTACTGGCACTCCTGACAGGCAATGCTCAAACAATACAAAAAATAGAAACAATATAATAAGAGAGGAATGGAATTTACCAACATGCAGGAGATACTTTACTTTATTAATGGTTTGAAGCAAACAACCAAAATCATTACAATCAGTTATTACAAAATAAATTTCTATAAAATCAAGGTTTCATAATAATTGGCACCCTTCATTCAATACTTAGTGAAACCACCTCTGGCAAGGATAACAGCATGGAGTCATTTCCTGTAATTTTTGACAAGGTTAATGCACACATTTGGGGGGATTTTGGACCATTCCTCTAAGCAGATCCTTTCAAGATCCTTCACATTCTTGGGTTTGCATTTACCAGCTGCCATCTTCGACTCAGCCCACAGGTGTTCAATTGGATTGAGGTCTGGCGAGTGAGATGGCCTTTGCAGAATGTTGACTTTATTGTCACTGAACCATTTCTGTGTAGATCTTGAGGTTTGCTTTGGGTCATTGTCTTGTTGGAAAGACTAGCTACAGCAAAGTCCCCGTCTTCTGGCAGAGGCAACCAGAAAATCAGCCAAAATATTGTCATACTTGGTACAATTCATTATGCCATTAATACAAACCCCAATTCCAATATAGTTGGGACATTGTGTAAAATGTGAATAAAAACAGAATACAATGATTTGCAAATCCTTTTCGACCTATATTCAATTGAGTACACTACAAAGACAAGATATTTAATGTTCAAACTGATAAACTTTATTGTTTTTTTGGAAATATTCATTCATTTTGAATTTGATGCCTGCAACACATTCCAAAAAAGCTGGGACAGAGGCAACAAAAGACTGGGAAAATTGAGGAATGCTCAAAAAACACCTGTTTCAAACATTCCACAGGTGAACAGGTTAATTGGAAACAGGTGAGTGTCATGATTAGGTATTAACGGAGCATCCCCGAAAGGCTCAGTCATTCACAAGCAAGGAAGGGGTGAGGTTCATCACTTTGTGAACAACTGCGTGAGCAAATAGTCCAACAGTTTAAGAGCACCGTTTCTCAACGTGCAGTTAACCTGGAATTTGGGGATTTCATCATCTACAGTGCATAATATCATCAAAAGATTTAGAGAATTTGGGGAAATCTCCACAAGTAAGCGGCAAGGCCAAAAAACCACATCGAATGCCCGTGACCGTCGGTCCCTCAGGTGGCTCTGCATTAAAAATTGACGTCATTCTGTAAAGGATATTACCATGTGGGCTCAGGAACACTTTGGAAAACCATTGTTAGTTAACACAGTTCCTCGCTACATCAACAAGTGCAAGTTAAAACTCTACCATGCAAAGCGAAAGCCATATATCAACAACACCCAGAGACGCCGCCGGCTTCTCTGGGCCTGCGCTCGTCTGAGATGGACTGATGCAAAATGGAAAAGTGTGCTGTGGTCTGACGAGTCCACATTTCAAATTGTTTTAGGAAATCATGGACCTCGTGTCCTCCGAACTTAAGAGGAAAAAGGACCATCCAGATTGTTATCAGCGCAAAGTTCAAAAGCCAGCATCTGTGATGGCATGGGGATGTGTAAGTGCCCATGGCATGGGTAACTTGCACATCTGTGAAGGCACCATGAATGCTGAAAGGTACTTACAGGTTTTGGAGTAACTTATGCTGCCGTCCCAGTAACGTCTTTTTTTTGGACATGCCTGCTTTTTTCAGGAAGACAGTGCAAAGCCACATTCTGCACGTGTTACAACAGTGTGGCTTCGTAGTAAAAGAGTGTGGATAATAGACTGGCCTGCCCGCAGTCTAGACCTGTCTCCCATTGAAAATGTGTGGAGCATTATGAAGC